GCCCCTTTTCTCCCTTTCTACCAGCATCACCTATTGGCCCTTGGAAACCACGACTCCCCCTTTCACCCCGATCACCCTTCTGCCCGGGAGGTGGGTCACAAGGTGAAATCTATGAAAAAGAACGGCTCAAGAAGGTTATTTTGAATTTATTTCAATTAATCATAATGAAAAAAACTTAATAAATAAGGTATAATTTTAACCTCTCAATTTAATTATAATGCCTATTACTAAACAATTTTAACTTATGTTTATGCTTGAACGCGATATAGAGTATATCTTTGCTGAGATCAGCTATAAAATAAAATTCTTGTTAATATTTTGAAGCGAATTGATGTTAATAAATTGGAGGACCATTTTGTATCGGTTGAAGTAAAGAGTAAATCGTAAAATTATCTTACTTTTTCCCGCTTATTTACTGTAAACTTGTAAATTTTCGTGACGTGTATACTAAGAACTACTAGCAATATAACAATCTCGTGATGGCTGTAGTTGCGATTGATCTTTTTTATCATTAAAAAGATGTTTATAATGATTTATGATAGATGTTCTAATGAATTTATATATTTAAAAATATATCAACATTTCGGCTTTAAAAATATTATTTGCTATGTGGTTTCTGTATAGCTGACAATCAAATTAATTATTCAAAATAAGCTAGTGAAACATATTTTTCAAGTAATGTACATGTTCATACTTGTTTTTATGCTTAGTTCTATGCAAATAAAATAATTCAATACTTTAACCTTTAGAAAAAACACGTGACATAAATCTTACCCCAGATTCACCCTTTTTGCCTTTTATTCCGATTGCCCCATCAAGCCCACGATGACCCTTGCTCCCAACCTCACCAGATGGCCCTTTAGGACCTTTCTGACCATCTGATCCATTAGGGCCCTGGATTAGGAATAAAAACTTAAAAATATTAGTCGGCCGGCAAATAAAAATAGAATTAAATTTTATTAAGTAAGACAACATGCATTTTACAATCTTTTAAGTATTATTAAATAGATCATTTAAAAATATTTAGCAAATTTATTTTTCTGAGCTTATTAATATCAAACAATCGATCTGAGGAATTTATTCTCAATTTATATGGTTTATTTTTTAAAGTGTCCATATAGTTTCATTTTTACCGGATCACCAATATCACCATCTGGTCCAAATTCTCCCTCTTCTCCCTGAAAAGCATATGTAAAAGTAACAATATTTATTTAGTCAATCTAGTAATCAATTTTATTCTAAAATAATGTTATATGTACAAAGGTCTTTAAATACTTAAGATAGTTTTAACTAAGTAACAAGATACTGCTTTTTCTAAATAAATTTTGCTTGTCTGACTTCATTTTTTCATTTTCTTATACTTTATTTTTGATATCCCTATCATTGTTGGCTAGAGTAATTTTTAAAATGTTACGGAAACTTCCATGTCAGTTTTCTTACACGGAAGTATAAAGCATTATTTATAAGTTTATAAGGTAATCTTATATAATATACTATGACTTAACATTTGATTATTTGTCTTTTAATTATCGAGATTATTGAAGTTTTCGCAACTTAATCACATTGGTAGGAAAACTTAGAGGAACATACCTAGTCCGGAGTCCATTGTATGCATGATTATTTCTAAATTTGGACCGTGGACGTGGTAGTTTCTCAGACGTTTTACCGGTATCGTAGTCGGCATTGCCATTCGTAGCACCATAGTACAGCTCGTCCAAGAGACAAGTGAAGCCCATTATTTGGCCAAACGTGTGTTAAACAGTTCTAGTATCTCCCCTTCTGCCCTGCGCTATTCACATTTTCTATATACTCCTATCACACCTTCCCTGTCACAATTTTACCGTGGTAATTCTGATGTAGTGTGGTGTGCTCCTTCGAGCGTCCGTCATGAAAACCCCTCCCACTACTCTGTCGTTCTCACCCCTTTGACCCTTGTACTGGGAATGTTGACCAGTCTGTCATATTGTTACCTAGTCCTTCCCTGAGTCCTATCAAGGTTTCTCTCTTGCCCCGCAGCTATCTCCCTGGTAAACGTATTTCACACGACCCCTGTCTCCCCATCTGTGCCACTAGAGGCGTTATTCGCCCACCTTTGCATCTGGGTGACTAATTCGAGGCTAGCGTCTCAGGGTAAGTCTCATGGTCATTCCTTTGATACATGGACTACGCCTCTTGTAAAACCTACTGTCAGCCAACTAGCTCCAATCGCCGCCTCGTCTATTCTGTCTCTATCCTTAATACCAAGTCTATAATTTGTCATGCCCTAGTCTCTTGTGTGCTAACCGACAAATGTTGTGGTACTGCTTACTTTGACTAGGTTTAATAATGAAATACACTAGATCAAAATAAGCACGGTAAAAATTGAAAAAGGGAAAGCGTGATAGGAGGATATAGGAAATGTGAATAACCCAGGGCAGATGGGGAGATACCACAACTGTTTAGCACACGTTCTTAGTCAAAGGATCGGCTCCACTTGTCTTTTTTACGAGTTGTTGAATGGTGCTAAGAATGACGAGACTCACTGATGATGCCGACTAGGATCCCGGCTAAACGTCTGGGCAAGTACCACGTACGCGGTCCAACTTTGTAAATAATCATGCATAAAATGGACTTCGAACTAGGTACTTTCCTCT